TCCCTCACGAATCCTTCATAATTCATAAAGTATTATTATTTTGTCATATGCTACACTGTCTGATGTCTCCCTTGCCCTCTTCTCTAATGTCTATTGCCCAGGGAGGAGGCTATACGTAGATTCTTGTAATAGGTTCCCCCTTTCCACCCCACATTCCCTCCAACCTCCAGGCATTGCCACTCTCACCACTGGTCCTGAAGGAATCATCTGTCCTGGATTCCCTGTGTTTCCAGATGCTATCTGTACCAGTGTACGTTCTCTGGTATAGCCATATTTGTAAGGTAGAATTGGGATCATGATAGTGGGGTGTGGGGGAACATTTAAGAACTAGAGGAAAGTTATATATTTCATCGATGCTAACCTGCACCCTCACTGGCTCATCTCCTCCCAACAACTCTTCAGTAAGGGGGTGTCCAGTTGCCTACCTATGGGCTTTGAGTCTCCAATCTGCATTCACCCACATTTACAATGATATGATTTTTTGTCCTTTGATGCTTGATACCTGACCCTTTCTATAGCTCGTGGTCACACCGGCTGGTGTGCTTCTTCCATGTGGGCCTTGTTGCTTCTGAGCTAGATGGCCGCTTGTTTATCTTCAAGCCTTTAAGGCTCCAGATGCGATATATTTCGATAGCTGGCTATCAAGAGATTTATTATCCTCATCATCTTTTCCCACCCATAAAGTAGATTTGACTCCTTCATATTCTATCAGTCAAGGTCCCTGTGTATATATGTTACTTATATTGTTGGGGGGAAAAAGGATTTGTAATGAATAAAGTGTTAGTCTTTCAAAATTCTATAATGAGATCCCTGCCATTGCTTAACACCAGGGACATATATTTCAGTTGATCTTTTGTCTTTATTTTCAATTTTGGCATTCCAATAACTCATAATTATCAATGTATCTTGTTTGCAAGTTTGATCAATTTCAGACTGTACAAATTGGTAAATATTTCAATACCTTCATGTTGAGCTTAGTGGTCAGTTGGTCCATTTGAATAATAGTTGCATTAACTTGGTTTTTTAGTGAGTGTATAGATAATATCTTATCACTGACAGCATTATAAATCAAGATAAATCTTGGAATGTACTCTTTAAGGAGGCGTATGATGCCATTCTTCCTTAGTGGGTCATTCCTGACATACTAGACCCTATGATTGTCTGATTCAAAACGGCCAGTGCCAATCCATTTATTCTCACTAATGCCTAGGATATTTCTCTGTATGCTTTCCATTAATTTTTTGCTGGTTTTATTGGCATATAATTCACATATAATCCAATTCAATAGTCTAATCAGATTTTTAAAAGGGTCTACAATCATCATCACAATCAACTGTAGAACATTTTCTTCTTCCTTATACTCATTGTTATCAGCTTGCCATTTCCCCCCAACCTCCCAACTGTACCCCGCAAGAAACCTCACTGCAGTCACTGTTTGTATAGCTTTAGCTATCCTAGATTTCATATACAGAAAATGGCAATGAATACAAAAGTAAAACAGAGAAAAACCTTAATTGAAAAGACAGCTGAACAGATGTAAAACTGGAGCACATTTAAAATGGGTTAAAAGGGACGATCAAATGATCAGGTTTCATTTTGTTAGGTTTAACCTCATTGCATTGATTTTTGATGATTCCCTATGCTTTTCGATTCTTACTTCAGAGATTCCACATTAAAGTTATTAACAGATGTTTGTAGGTATTTCTCCTTATTTGAGTCGTAACACACCATCAAATAAAAGTCCAAATGCTTTGTTCCATCCATTTGATTCACAATGACTTTACTCTAAGGGGGAAGCTCTTTGCCATTAGTATTTTCAGTGCCCCCTCCCAACCCCCTGAGAATTTATCTCCAGCACTGAAGGAGCTCATAAGGTTTTCTATGGTGACTCTTTTTCTGCAGTATACTGCCACTTCCTTCTTCCTCTTTTTGATATCCAAAACCAAATTCCTATTCATAATGACTTTACAAGACCCAGTAGAACTGCCATATAAGGGTTTTGAGATTTTAAATCTTTGCAGAAGCAAACAGTCTCATTTTTCTCCTGAAGTGTAAACTAGTGGGATCAGACTTCCAACTTTTTTTATTAGAAGCCTAATGTGTGATGCACAGCACTATCCTGGCTCATTTTCCTTTTGCTGAGAAATATTAATTAATTTTGTCTATTTTACTATGAAATATATTGTCATTATTGTATCCTTTCTGTTTGTCTTGAATATTATTACATTCCTACTTATTAACTGTGCTGTTGATGAATATGTTCAGGAGTGTTTCTTCAAGTATCATTACTGTCACGTGCCATCGAGTTGGTTCCAACACAAAAGGACAATATTGACAGCAGAAAGAAACACCTTGTGCCATCGCCACAAGTGGTATACTGGAGACAAATATGATCACCTGTTGGTGTCTTTTTTTAAACTTTTATTTTTGGGGGTTGGTTTACAAAAGGAATTGATCCAATATTTCAGCGTAATGACATAGATTAATACTTCCTTTATGATTAATTCACTTTATGCCTTGAAATCTTTCATATGATTTCAGCTTGTGCATTGCATCTTGATAGTGCTTTTTATGTGTTTAGAGTTCTACTTGTACACATCTTTTTCTTTCATCATTAAATTTTTTTCCCCTGAATAATGTAAAATTAGCTCCAAATTGTGTTGCTGTGTTTTAGTGTGGGTATTCAATCTCCTGCTGTCATGTGTGGATTTATCTGTATCCCCTCTACTGAGGACTCTGATTATGTGTTCAGTTCCTAGATAGAGTGAGGCTCTCTTGTGCTCCGTTTGCTCTTTTTTTGTGTCACTGACAAGGTGTGTTAAGTTCGAATACCGTAGAACAGATATTGAAACTGGGTAAAGCACAATAACTTTATTCTTCTTTTTCAGAAAAGTCTTAGATTACAAGTCTTCATAGGCTTGAAGTTTCAATATCTTCCCCCTCCCCCCACCCACTACCCCAGCTACCCCCCATTTCCAAGAGCATCTTGGAAGAAGTCTGCCATTGAACATGTAGGTAGCATAGTTCTAATCTGATGGACTCAAGTGTATTAGGCAGATGGACCCCAACTACAACTCTTATAAACTTGTGTCAGCTCCTCATTTCCATTACAATTTCCATTGGCTTTGCATTAGAATGCATTAACTATATGCATCAATTTGAGAAAGGTAGCCATAGTTGCAGTAGTTTAACTCCCTAGCCATAGGCAATCTTTAGCCCTTTATTTAGATGTTCTTGAATGTATTTCAACGAGGTGTTCTCCATATAAGATTATCCAACACTTTGTTAGATTATACCTTCATTCCATATAGATTTATATATTAATTCTTGTTACTATGTCACCATTAAAATAATGTTTCCTCTAGGCTTTTTCATTCTGTTTTGCTGTGGTGAGGTTTTATCTATTTTTGTTTTCATGGACCTTGATTCAACCAGGAGTGGTACATTTATGTTTACACTTTTCAAAACATCTTTTTGAACAACACTTATAAACATTGAGTATCATTTAAGAGTTTTCCTATAATGGTGAAAATAATACACTGTACTCTTCCTTCCTCCTTCAGTACATGAACCCTCAGGATTACATTCAGGGTTTCATGTCTCTCCCTTGCTTCTTTCTTTTTATTTTTGATTTTTTTTCATTAACATGAGAGAAAAAATAATTATTTGGTTAATTTTAACTAAGTTAATTTAAAATTAGTTAAACTGGAAATAAAGTGAATAAACCTGGATGCATTTTTTACACACTTGTTATTATTTTGTTTAGGCTCTTGGCCTGTAGCATTTCTTAGGACAGAGTGAGATATAATTATTCAAATTATGGAAGCCAAGAAAAACAAATGGTGGTGAATCTGTCCTTTCCCTTGTTTCCTAGAAACATGTCATCTGGCTGAAATGGCCTGCTTCCTTATAGCTTTAAATTTCAAACTAATTGTAGGTTGTTTTCTTTTTGAGAAATATTTTGTTTTTCCTAAAATTAATTTTCCTTCATTTGTATATTTCAACTCATATTTTCTATTTATAGAGTCGCTAATGAAAACAATTTAATTCCTTTATGTCTTTGTATTTTAATGTCTTCGTTATTTAATTTTATATGCTCTATGTCTCAAAACAATTAATTTTTGGCATTCTCAAGTACTTTGATAAATTTGTTTACATTTCATTTCTTTGTACTAGTCTAATATATAACCTGTTGTATATTTTATTTTTAAATGGTTTACAGAGGATGGCAGAATCATAGCAATAAAAACATTTGAGTTTTCATTATGAATTCAGCAACTATAATTTTTATATGTAAAAGATGTATCAGATATTTCCTTTCTTTTGCATTTCAGAAGTAAGAAAGGTATTGAAAATGAGAAGGCAGGATTTAAGCCATAGTTTAAAGTATTGAACTGGCCATTTTTGCTATCATCCAGAGATATAAAGTGATATTCCACATAGAAATAAATAAATGTAACATAATATCCCAATTTAAATTATGCTTTCTGATTTTACCAAAAAAAATGGTTTAAATCACCCATGGCATATATTTCCCTATAAAAAGACAAAACTCTTTTGTGTCAAGAACTTTACTTTATATTTTCTCCAAGTTTATCTATAAAGCCAAAAACCTTTTAAAGATAATGTGACTTTTTTGTTACCAACTGCTGTGCTTTTTTTTAATACTAATGATGAAACCAATTGTTCATCCCTTAAACTCTGACAGCATACTATGAATTCTGACAAATTTCTCCCACTCCAGTTCCTGAATAACATATAATTTCCTTGATATGACAAAATATCATTTTAACATTCATGTCATGCCTCGGTGTTCGTTTTTCATGTTTCTGTAAGTTAATGAGTTCCAGCAAGAGTTCCTTCATAAAGTTGTCTTTTGCCAACAGCCTTGCTGCAGCATATGGATCTGGTGACAAGCTACAGTGTTAAGGAGATTTGTTTTAAACCAATGCTCTAAAGTGTGCATGGAAATACTAAATACATCCCTGTGTGTTTTGCAGACAATCCTGGTTTGCTGAGCCATGTCACAGTGGGTATTAGAGTTCTGGATGTCAATGACAATCCACCTGAACTTGCCAGGGAATATGATATTGTTGTCTGTGAAAATTCTAAGCCTGGCCAGGTAAGTTAATTGTTTCATTCTTAGCATTTAAGTGGAAGAAAAATGAGCAGCTTCATTTCTATTATGTTGAGGTATAAAACACAAAACCTGGCAAGCTGTTTTTGTATTGAGTGAAATAATTTTAGAAACTGTTATTCTAATATGCAAGTCGATTTGGTTTCTTTGAGAATCAAAGAAAACAAATTCTCTGGATTTTAAATGCAACTCAGCAAATCAACTCATCCGTGCACGCATGCCCTCATTCCAGCCAAGTTACATTGAATTCTTTGTGTACAGCTCTGCAGGATGTGGTGAGGAAGCAGCACATTTTCTGTCCAAATGAAACTACAAAATTGGAGAGAGGGAAGTCATTTGCTCTATTTTGGAGGATCAGAAAGAATGCTTTATGAGTGACTGTTGAGTGATATGGAGTGCTGAGAGAAGATTAGCATTTCACCTGAGGAAGAATGTGTGTAACGGATGGGGAGGGCGAGCAGAGACCCTGAGACAACCAAGGAAGCGGTGAAGACACTTTTGAAGGAGACCAGAGTGGATGAGGCACAGGAAGCAAGACTGATAGGGCATTGTGCATCTGCCTCACACGCCGTCTATCAGTTTACACAAATTTAGCAGCTAAAAGCAATGTGGTATCTGAACCAGTGCTCAATATCAAGAGCCATTTTGGAAAGTCTAATTAAAATTGTAATGAGGTTCATCATACAGCTGCTCCCACAACCAAACTCAAGACCCTCTAGTTGATATCGACTCATAGTGACCCTGTAGGACAGGCTAGAACTGCCTCAGTACGTTTCCAAGAGTGTGTCTTTATGGAAGTAGAAAGCATTGTCTTTCTCCCACTGAGTGGCTGATAGTTTTAAAATGCTGACTTTATAGTCGGCAGCCTGGTGCATAGCCATCTCACCGCCAGCTTAAAGCAGTGACATGCAAAAGTGGAGAGAAGCACAGAAAACGAATCATTCTTAATATTGCTGGAAAGAATATAAAAGAGCAAAACTATCTTATAACGCTTTTTATATTAAAAATAACAAGCTGCTACCATATAATACAATTATATTTTCCAATACTTGAGATATGCAGACGAGTGCTCAGACACAATCTTGTATGCAAATGTTCATATCAGTGTATTTACAATAATTCTAGTTGGGAAACAATCTAGCTATCACTTAATGGGTGAATGATTAAATAATCTACAATATATCCATACTATGGAATATTTTTATCAATAAAAATGAATAAATTATTACTGCATATGATAAACAGGTGAATTTTCAAAAAATTTCTAAGTAGATAAAAAAATTCCCCAAATTTATAGCATTTATTGTTTCTTATCTCAACATAAAGAAAACAAAATGCTCAGAAGGGATCAGTAATAAACAACATGGTAAATGCAGAAAATATTGAACTTATCAAGGATTTCATTTTATTTGGATCCCCAACAAATGCTCATGTAAACAGATGTTAAGGAATCAACTAGAATATTAAATTTGGAAAATCTCCAGCCAAAGATTCTCTCAAACCTTTTATAAAAGAAGGGTGTAACTTTGAAGAACAAGGTGCAAGTTGCCTTACATGTACAAAAAGCGAGGTAATGAGCAAAGAGGACCATAGAAGAATGATGTCTTTGAATGATGCTGTTAGTGAAGACTATTAAATATCCCAATCGCTTCAAGGGAAACAAATCTCTGTTAAAAGTACAGCCAGAACGCTCCTTAGAAGCCATTAGGTAAGTCTTCATCTCTCATATTTTGGACTTGTGTCAGGAGAGACCAGTCCCTGGTGAAGGGCATCAAACTTAGTAATTTTGAGAGTGCGTGAAAGAGGAAGAACCTCAATGAGATGGATTGACACACTGGCCACAAGAATGGTCTCAAACATAAGAAAGACTGAGCATGATGCTGTGTTTTGTCCTCTTGACCCGGGCTCATTATGAGTTAGAACTGACTCAATGGTACCTTAAGACAACAAACACCGTCAGATGATTATACTCTTAGATTAATTTAGCATTCACTTCCAACTCTCACCAAATCACTCTAAAATCGTTCTCGCTTCGGCAGCAAATATACTAAAAAAATCACTCTAAAATTATAGTATTTTGTACTCATACATAAATAATTAGCAATCTGATCGGTCAATTAACCCATCCATTTAATTTTACAGTCCTTTAAAATCATGTTTATAGCACTCTGGAGGACTTCCATTGTATTTTGATACAGATTTGGAAAAGGCCACTCTGTTTAAACACAGCTTTTCAAATACGTTATCTGAAATATATCTGTATTTCTCAAGCTGTGCTACATTTTTTGTTGTGTGATCAATGCTTTCAGAATTTAAGAAATTGTTTCTAGGCACCTTGTATTTTTATATGGTAAAATCCTTGAAAGCCGGAACATGTGTAAGGTAGAAACTTATTGTAGAATGAAAATTAAGATATTTTTCACTGAAAGGAGGAATAGAAAAGTTGTAATACTGTATAGATACACCCACAGAATCAATTTCCAAGACCCAGGAAAAATAAGGCAGTCCTATTAACTTCTAACTCTTACAGCTTTAAAACAACAGCAGCTACAACACAAACTTATAACTGACTTATAGTGATCCTGTAGGACAACGTACCTCATGTCCACCAGTGTGGATTTCTGAGACTGTAGATCTTCAATGGAGTAGAAAGCCTCTTTTTTGCTGAAGAGCGGCTGAGGATTTCCAGTTGCTGACTGTCTTAGTCTGGGTACTTTAGAGAAACAAATCCACAGCAACTCGTGTATAAGAGAGAGTTTTATATAAAGGTTAAGTGTGCATCAAGAAAACATCCCAACCCAGTGCTGCCCA